TGGAGGTACCACAGCTTATTTATCCATTTACCCACTGAGGACGTCTTGATTGCCTCCACCTTTTGGCATTAAGGATTAAAGCTGCCACAACGCTTTGTGTGCAGGTTTTTGCATGGACCTGTTTACAACTCATCTGGGTGAATACCAAGGAGCACAATTGCTGGATTGCATGGTATGAGTATGGTTAATTTTGTAAGAAGCTGAGAAACTGCCTTCCCAGCCCTGGCTGGTGTGGCTCAGTAGGTTGAGCACCAGCCTGCAAACCAAAGGGTCACCAGTTCAATTCCCAGTCAGGGCCCCTGCCTGAGTTGTGGGTCAGGTCCCCAGTAGGGGGTGCACAAGAGGCAACCACACATTGATGTTTCTCTCCCTCTCCTCCCTCCTTTCCTAAATAAATAAAATCTTTGAAAAAAAGAACCTGTCTTCCCAAGTGGCTGTACCATTTTGCATTCCACCAGCAGTGAGTGAGAGTTTCTGTTGCTCCATATCCTTGCCAGTATCTGGTGTTGTCAGTGTTTTGGATGCTGGCCCTCTTTATAGGAGTGCAGTGGTGTCGCTGAGATTTTAATTTGCAGCTCCCTAATGACACATGATGCTGAGCATCTTTTCATAGGCTTATTTATCCCTGTATATCTTCTTTGGAGAGCTGCCTGTTCAGGGATTTTGCCCATTTTTAAATTGCGGCCTTCATTTCCTTACTGTGGAGTTTTAAGAATTCTTTGTACAATTAGGGTAACAGTCTTTTAACAGATGTGTCTTTTGCAAATATTTTCTGCCAGTCTACGGCCTGCCTTTACCTTCTCTTGATGCATCATTTTTTTCATGGTTGCTCTAAGGCAGTGATTTTCAACCTTTTTCATCTCATGGCACACATAAACAAATTGCTAAAATTCTGTGGCACACCAAAAATATATTTTTGGCCAATCTGACAAAAATAAATAGGTATAATTTTGATTCACACTGGACAGCTATTGTTGTGTTGGCTGCTGTCATTTTTTTTTCATTTGACAATCTAAGGGAAAAGAGGTCAGTGCCCCTGATGAAGTAGTCAGGTACTGCATGTTTTAAAAATTCTTTCAGAGCCCTAGCTGGTATGGCTCAGTGGATTGAGCACCAGCTGGCAAACCAAACGGTTGCTGGTTCGATTCTGGTCTAGGGCACATGCCAGGGTTGCCTGGCCAGGTCCCCAGTGCGGGGTGCAAGAGAGGCAACCACACAATGATGTTTCTCTTTCTCCTTCCCTTTCCCTCTCTCTAAAAATAAATAAATAAAAATCTTTTAAAAATAAATAAAAATAAAAATTCTTGCAGAATACCGGTTGGAAATCGCTGCTCTAAGGAATACGATAATCATCCAAGATTACAATAATCATCCCTATCTAACCTACAATAATCACCCCTAATCTCCCAGTCTACTTGGTGTCAATATTGTACCAGGAGGGAGCCTCAAAGACGTACCCCAATAATCCCAGTCTCTGCGTATTATTCATGCTCTTGTGCAGTCCCTTCCCACACTGTATTGGGATTGGTGACCATAGAATATGGCAGAAATCATGGTTTGCACCTTCCAACGTTAGGTTATAAAAGTTACTGCAGCTTCCATATTGGTTGTTTTGTCTTGGATCATTCACTGAGGAAAGGAAGCTCTTAAGCTGCAAGCAAACCTATGGAGAGACTCGCATGGGGAGGCTTCCTGCCATCAGCCGCATGGATGAGTGACTGAGGCTGGAAGCAGATCCTCCAGCCACAGTCAAGCTGTCAGAAGTCTGTGGCCCCAGTGGGCAGCAACCTCAAGGGATCGTCATCATGAACCACCCAGGTAAGCTGCTCCTGGATTCCTCACCTTCAAAAGCTACATGTGACAGAGATGTTTATAATTTTAAGTTGCTGAGCTATAGAGTCACTTGTTACATGACATTAGGTAATCTGCACCACTTCAAACAGAACGACCTCACAAGAAGTAGTTCCATTTGCCCCGTCCTTTTTGCTACGGCCGTCACATGCATTCGGTTGGCCAAATATTTCATTTGTTTTTTTCCGTAAGATAGTTCTAGGAGCACTTAGTTGTCTTTAATTTCATTCAAAACAATTCTTTTAGACTATATTGTGACAGCTGTCATATCAGTGTGCGTTTAAAAAAAAAACTTATCAAAACTGGTGAAATTTTGTGTAGCCATTTTAATATTGAAGATGAAGAAAATACGCAACATCTTCGGTATAGTATACTTTATTACTTCAAGAAAGGTAAAAACGCAACTGAAACACACACAAAAGAGATTTGTGCAGTATATGGAGAAGGTGCTGTGACTGACTGAACGTGTCAAAAGTGGTTTGCGAAGTTTTGTGCTGGAGATTTCTCGCTGGGCGATGCTCCACGATAGGGTAGACCAGTTGAAGTTGACAGCGATCAAATTGAGACAGTAATTGAGAACAATCGATGTTCTACCACGTCAGAGATAACCAACATAGTCAAAATATCCAAATCAATAAAGTTATTGGTGAAAATGAAAATGTGTCTTTTATTTTACGGAAAAAATTAAATGGGCTTTTTGACCAACCCAATATTATGTCTATATACATTGTAAGCCCCACAGGACAATATTATAATTTTTTCTTCAAGAAGCCACATGCAGTTTTTAAAAGCTGGAAGGCGGGGAGAGCATCGTTTGTATTTACCCACGTAATCAACATGTCTGTCCCCCCCCATTCTTTCTTGAATATCCAAGCCTCCACCTGGTATCGTTCCCTTCAGCCTGAGGAACTGACAGTTCTCCTAACTCCAGTTTCCGGGTGAAGAATTCCTTTTGCTGTCATTTATCTGCAAATGTCTTAATTATGCCTTCATTTTTATGCCTATTTTCACTGCATGTAAAGTTCTGGGAAGCTTTACCTCCAGCTGCCCCAGCACTTTAAAGCTGCTGCTCTACTATCTCTGGCTCCCACTGTCTCTAATGGACAGTCAACCATCCCATCGTCATGCCGCTCTATGCGATGTGTCTTTATCTCTCACTGCTTTCGAGATTTTCTCTTTTCCTTTGGTTTATAGCAGTTTGACTAGGATGTGCCCATGTGTGGGCTTTGTATTTAACATGCTCGGGGCTTGCTGCGATTTCTGAGTCTGCATATTTGTGTCTCATGGATTGGAGGCAAATTTCAGCCATCATCTCTTCAAGTATTTTTTCTGGCCCCTTCTCTTTCTCTCTCTCCTACCGGTATTCCAATTGTATGTGTGGTGGGCCTTTATACATTACTCCACAAGTCACCGAGGCTAGGTTTTTCCCAATCTTTTTTGGTTTTTGGGTTGGCTAACTTGTGCTGATCTATCTTCAAGTTACCCAACACTTTCTTCTGTCATTGCTAATCTATTAAGCTATCCAATGATATATATATATATATATATATATATATATATATATATATATATATATATATATTTTTTAGTTTCAGAATCTTTTGTGCATAGTTTCTACTTCTCTGCCGAGACATCTTATCTTCTCACTCATTACAAGCTTATTTTCCCCTCTGCCCTTGAGCACAGAGCTAAGCTGCTTTTAAGTCCTCGTCTGCTAATTTCAACATCTGCGTCATCTTGGGGTTGGTCTCCATGGATCGTTTTTCCTATTGAGTCACATCTTCTTGGTTTTTTCATATGTATAATACTTTTATGATCGAATCCCAAACTTTGTAAATGGTATGCTTTACAGATTCTGAATTCTGCCTCAGTCCACTAAAGAGTACTGATTTTTCATTTTAGCAGGCAGTTAGTTTATCTAAGACCAGAATTCCAAATTCTGTTTCCTCTACACTGGGCTGCAGCTGCATTCTCCATTCAGTTATTTGAACCCTCCCTAGGATGCTTGGGATCCACCTGTTGCTTGTGGAGCTTAAGAGTGAGTCCGAGAAGTGGGCAGGTTTTTATAGAGAATTAGGACTTCTCCCTCTGGTTCTCCTCTTTCTGAGATACTCCTCTTACTTTCCAGTTGCTACAGTAACCCTGAACTCAGTCTTCTCATTCCACAGCCAATAAGACCGCGAGTTTCTATCCACGTTTTAGCTACTCTCACATCACAGCCTGTGCAGCCTGCCCATGGGTGAAAAGCAAGCCCTTTCCAATGACCATTCGCTGTGCTACATTTGAAACAGAATGGGAACTTGGAATATTAAGGCTTGCATTCAAATCCTAGGCTAGCCACTGTTTAGCTATGTTGACTTTGCATAGGTCCGTTCTCAGACCCCATTTTCTTATTCTAATATGGGGTTAAAAATGTCTGCTCCATGAGGTTATTCTTAAGATCAAATGAGATAATACATGAGACAAGGAAACTGAGGCTCAGAGGGGCTGGATGATGTCCCATCGAGTGGTGGGAGTACTGGGCTGCCCCAGCTCAGTCCGGGCTTCTCCTGCCCATACCATACTACTTCCATCTTTCTGAGGACCACCCTGTCCTCTCCCTTTCCCCGCCTAAGGCACCTGCAAGTATCTGCTTTGATCTAATGACCAAGCTGGGAAGCAAGAATCCAGTTAAGTCAAAATTGTTGCCCTCAAGAAGTTCCAAGTACCACTCCTTTCTTATAAGTGTGGGCTGCCTGCTTTCGGTTGCTGCCCAGTGCCTTCGGGTAGCTGTTCTGCTATAGTCCGTCCAGTCTGTAATTGTTAACTGTAGGAGGGGTTGACCTAATCCAGTCTGCTCTGCCAATACCATAGCGGAACTGCTCTCCGTGGATTTTTGGTTTTGCTCCCTCGCTGCTCGGTCTGTTTTTATGCCATGATATTTAGAGAGCTTTGAAAACTACACTTCTCCACTGCCCCCATCCTCCCAGAATCATCTGCTGCTTATTTTACTAATAAAGAAAGTAAACTACTGCCTGGAGTGTTGGTGTTACTCAGAACCCTTGTCCAGATTACTTCTGCTCCCAAAGCACCGCAATACTTGGTCGGAATGTAACTGCCGGGCAGTAAGCGCCCAGCAGTGGAATGACGTTCCTCCCAGCCCTTCATACCTGCTGTTGTCCTGGGTATTCCCTGATCTGGTAAAGCTCCCGCCTTCCGATGCTGATCATACCAGTCATTCACTGTCATAGATGCCAAACTTGGATAACCAGCTCCAAATACTCTGCAAGAATCACGCAGTATTAAGAAAACTCAACACAAACAGCAGTAGTCAAAAGCTTCTTCTCTTTAGTGACAAAGCTTGTGCCTGGTTCAGCCACCCTCCCCTAACCAGCCAACTGCTGAGGAGCCGCGCGAATTCCTAGGGGGATTTGTAAAAAGAGGCACCCAGGAAGGGGCATGAAAGTCAAGAGCTTTTACGAGATGATAAAGGGCCCCGGATCACCTCCCAATAAGCAATCCCAGAGGCCATTGCACCATGGAGCGGCGTGGAGGCCGTGAAAGGGGTATTTGTTGGTAGTGGGTCTAAAAGGTACACAGAGGAAGGGGACTCTCCTGCCACCCTTTGGAAAAGGGACTCAAGGATGGGCACACGCGTCCTTTGGAGAACTGTAACTGAAGGTCATGAGGGGAAATGATTTTAAAGGGTACAGTTCTCCATTGGATTCTTTTCTTCATTCTGTTTTTAATCACTCAACTAAGTAATTATTTTCATTGGTTTCTCATTGAGCCTCTTGTTAAGCTCAGGTTTGTGAGGGAAATGACTGCTGAAGGCAGGGAGAAAAGTACTAGAAAAGATACTAACCCTTTGACGAAAGAACAGCCTCCCGGGTGAAGCCATGCCTGTTAACAATGCCCATTCTGCCTGTTACCATGCACTGCAGGTGAACCACAAAAGCAAGGGGCTTGAAAAGGCAACCCGCTTCTCAGCACTACCTACTTGGCTTGGGCGGCATTCCGAGTGAGAATAAAGGGTTTCATTGGAGGCCTGGTCTGAGGAGTTGGGCGAGAAGTTGATGCCTGGAAAGAAAATGAACTATCAGAAGTGTATCTGCCTTTGCTCACCCCGCTCTGCAACCTCTTAGGTCCTCAGATGCTCAAAAAGTCCTGGATTCAAAAGTCACTTACTCCCTGTGTCTCAGTCTCTGAGACACAGCAGCAGAATACTGATGATGGAGAGTGCTTTGCTTTGCTGAGGACACCTGAGGACCTTGCTGAGAGAGAGGAAGCTCTCCCTGGAATGATCTCGCCATAAGGGAAAGTTTACTTGGCTTTAAAATGCCCTCTCCACCCTGGCTGGTGTGGCTCAGTGGATTGAGTGCTGGCCTGCGAATCGAAAGGTCGCTGGTTCAATTCTCAGTCAATTCCCAGTCAAGGCACATGCCTGGGTTGCGGGCCGGGTCCCCAGTAGGGGGCGCTCGAGAGGCCACCTATCGATGTATCTCTCTCATGTTTCCCTCTCTCTCTCTCTCCCCCTTCCCCTCTCTCGAAAAGTAAATAAAATCTTTAAAAATAAAATAAGATGCCCTCCCCAAAGGAGATGCCAAAGCCTTCTTCCATGTTCCATCTAAATCCCTTGAGCTGAGTTGTAAGCCCCTTTCCTCAGCCTGGCCTTTAGCGCTGAAGTTCAATTGCGACTGTTCTTCTAAAACCCCTTCCAACTGTAATTATGCTATTCACTGTCAAGAACCCCCTGGGGTCCTTTAGAAATGGATGCTGCTAAATGCAGTGGGGGGAGAACGAGTGTACACTTTTCTGATGCGGCATATAGCAATGTTTCAGGGAACCCTGGCTGTCCAGGCGCACCCGAAACAAAGTCTGCTCAAAGAAAAGGTGTTCATTTGGTTGGAGCTCCATTGCTCCCAGAGCCAATCTCAATATTAAATGAAAGGGCATGGGAAAAAACCCCAACACCAACAAAGAAGGGGGCAGGGGAGGACCCAGAGGAGCCTAGCCTCATGCTGTTTAAAAACCACGCTAAGATATGCTCAAGGGGCCTTCTGGCTTTGGAATACTAATTGCTCTTTTCTGATCCTTTAACACGAGGAACTAGGTTGATGTTACCCTGAGGCCAAAGCTCCTGGGCTAATTAGTACAAATCAAATTAGGAGGAGGTTTCTCTGAGGACTGAAATACACGCCCGTGACCGGCTGATAAATTTGATTCAATTCATGTTATATCAGAACCAAAAAGTAAGCAGCAGCAGAGCCTTATTTTTGGAAGCAGCAGCTCCAAAGCAGGCGTCCGATCTTGTCAAGGGCCTGTGGCTCGCTTGGGCGATCTAAAGGCGGGACAGGGCGTCACTGCGTAAGGTTAAATTGCGATTCCTCCCCCAAGCAAAACACCTTCCCTATCTTTCATTTTATCATCTCCTTTCTCCTCTTTTCTCTCTCTCCTCCGGGTCCGCTTTTCCTCTCCATCCCCAACTTAGTCCTCTTCCGCTTTGTTTACCCTAGTCAAGAAGCTTGTAAAAGCCAGTCTCCCTGCACCTTCCTTCAGCAGCCACAGACTTCCTGTAGCCAGAACCAATATTTCCTGCAGAGCACTCTCCCTCTGCCATGGCCTGTCACAAAATTACAAATGACTAAGAGTGTGTTATGGGTTAGAGAGCACTGGGGGACGCTGCTGTCACTGACCAGACAGAAAGGCACCCTGGCGACCCTTCAGGCTGCTACCACTGATCTTAGTCACGGCAATGATTTTATGGAGACTTAAAAGGATTTTGATTTGATCATTGTCCTACCAAACATTCAAATCTCTGACTTTTGAGCTACAGAGGCAGTGACCAGACTTACCTCCCTGGGGGCACCTTTTTCCCTCAGGATCTTGATCTCCTGGTCGATGCTGTCGATCTCTTCTAAGCTGATGCCAATCCACCTCCGCAGGTGCAAGAGGTAATACTCACGAACATGCTCGTCGTCTGCTTCCCCGCTCTCCACGGCAGCTTTCATTGCAGACAGCCTATGCTCTATCTCCTTCTTCTGCCTGTATCTGGGTCACGGAAAAGCATTACCAGTAAACTTAAAAACGAAGAGGTAGTCCTTTGAAAGAAGGCCACCGTAAGATTTTACCTTCACAAGCGACCAGGCCAGTCAGCACACCGGTTTCCGCTTTGGCAAAAATATAGATTCTTTACCCCAGAACTTGCCAACAGGGCAGTTTTCGCAAGACTACAAGGCAAGGAAAGGATTGGCAGGGGCTGGGAAACACATCGGAAGCCAGAAAAACGACGCAACCTGATCTGAGCAACTCGTCCAATCGTCTTTAGAGACGGAGTGCCGTAGTAATGTTATATCCCCCTTTATTTACTACCTTGGGTGTTTAGTACCACACAACGTCCGTTTCGGAATCCTAGCTTCAGAGCATCATAGACTCTCAGGGGTTGTTCCCCTGCCATCGACGCAGGAATTTCTTGTGAAACAGCCTTTAAAAAAAAAAAGATCATCTCTTCTGTTGTGCTGGGCTCATTCCCAGCTCTTCTGACTCATCTTCCTGTAATTTAAAGTCTCATAACCACCCTGCCTACCTTTTTCAGGATGTATCCTAGTACCTCAGCAAATATTCACTCCACAAATATTTACTGAATACCTACTGTATGACAGGCACTGTCCTCCATGCCAGTGACACAGCTGTGTATACAAGAAAGTCCTTGCTGTCCTGAAGCTTTCAATGTAGTGGGACAGACAAAAAGAAATAAATAGAGGAGTCCTCAGGTGGTGATGAGTGTTACGCAGAAGCAAAAAGGAAGGCAAAGCGGAGAGAGCAATGGTGCAAAAGTAGGGCTGCTGTCATATACAAGGTGATCAGGCGGGGCCTCTCTGAAGAGCTGGCATTTGAGCAAAGACTTCAAAGAAATAGGGAAGCAAGCAGTGCCAGGATCTGGAAGGGTCTTCTTGTTTTGTTTTTTGTTTTTCTTTTTAACAGGAGAAAAATCAAAGTTTAATACATGCACATGGGGACTGCACATAAGCGTGTAAATTCCAAAGATGGCAAGGCAACATTGGGTATAAGGCATTTTTGGAGAAAGGAGAAAGGAGGAGGGACAGGGTATTAGATTTCAGAAGTGAAAGTGGGCGGTTTCCATATAGTTGAGGGAAGAGCGGAACGTACAAAGCCGGAAAATCTCCCCCCTCCCGGCGTGACTCAGAAACGATAGGACACAGTGCGGGGTGGGGGGGAGGGGTGCCCCTTCCCAAAGCCTCCTATTTACTGAAACCCCCTATTTACTGTACTTCATTCAAATTAGGTGAAAGTGGCATCCTCGCACCTCCTTCCTGAGGCAGGTTCTCTGTCTGAATCTCTTGGGCAGGAAAGGCAGGTGGGCCAGGGGTGGGGAGGTGGAAATCAAAGGCCGAGTCTTGCTTCTTTCTTATCAACAACTTAAAGTCAACAACCCCAAAAAGGCAGCGGCAGGGTGGCAAAACTTTGGCTCCCCCTGGAAGGGCGTTTGTTCTAAGGGAGCAGGGGAAGCAAATACGAAGGTCCTGGGTGGAAGAGGGCCTGGCCTGCCACCTTCAAGAAGCAGCAAGGAGGCTAGCGCAGCTGGCAGGAAGTGAGGTCAGCCAGCCAGCCAGGGCCATAACCTGTAGACCCCTGTAGGGAATAAGACCCAATACATCAAATGCCATGCCATTTGCAATGCGATGGAAAAGCCGCTGGAGGCTTTTGGATAGAACACGCAACAGGAAGAGGGTGGCAGAAAACTTTTGTAGTTGGGCCCCTCTGGCTGTGTGTGTGGACTCTATAGTACGGGGACTACGAGGCAGGGCACCAATTAAGAGGATGCTGCCATGGTCCAGGTGAGAGTTGAGTGACTTGCAAAAGGGAGGTGGTGCGATCTGGAAGCAGTTCGAATATAAAACAGGATGTGCTGATTTGTTGAATGCAAGGGCTTGAGAGAAAGAGGAATCAAGGGAAAACTCCATGATTTCCAAAAGTATCTGGAAATATCCAAGTCTGAAACCCCACTCTAGACCCCCAGAATCGGCTGCTGCTCTGAAGGTGCTCACCCAAATCTGGACTTCTTAACCTCAGGTCCATGAACAGAGGGCATTTTTTTTTTTAGGGGACAGGGGCCTGAGGCAGCAGTGGTCCTTGAACTCCCTGAGATTTTATAGAGAATTCTATACATATGGCCCTGGCTGGTGTGGCTCAGTGGGCTGGGCATCATCCCACATACCAAAAGGTTGCTGGTTCGATTCCTGGTCAGGGCACATGCCTGGGTTGCTGTCCAGGTCCCCAGCAGGGGGTGCGTGAGAGGCAACCAATTGATGTTTCTCTCCCTCTCTTTCTCCTTCCCTGTCCCTCTCTCTAAAAATAAATAAAATCTTAAAAGGGAAAAAAAAGAATTCTATAGGTATGCATTTTTCTTTTTCCCAGCAAGAGATTTTGTAGTTTTTATCCAATTATCAGTAAGGTCCTTGACCCATGACAAGTCAAGAATCACTGCTCTGGAAATTCTCTTTATTATAAAAACCTTTAGGCTCTTCTGCTCCACTTACCCAACAAGTGGGCACTTTACGTAATGTTACAAATAACGGTCACAGCATCCTCATAGGTAATCTTGTGAGTAAAACACTACAAAGGTCTAGTCCTAGTTCATGAATGTTAATACAGCTATCGCTCGACAACACTTACCGTATTTTGCCGTGTATAATGCGCAACCACACTTGGAGCGCACTATACGCGGGCTGACTATACCCATGTATAATGCGCATCCTTATTTTTCTCTGAAAAAATTCGGGCACCAAGTGTGCATTACACACAGCAAAATACAGTAACTGTGGTCCCACTCTTACCCTCCACCTTTCCTGTATGTACCTAAGTCAGGGAAAAAACATACCAGGGCGTGAGAATGTATAGTCCAGGGTGCATTCTGGGTTGGACTCCTGATCCTTCGAAAAAGGTTCCTGCACTTCCTTTCCTGTCTCTGCATAAGACCGGGAATGCGTGCGAGTGCACTGCCCTCACTGTCTTTCCTTCTTGTCTATTTCCTTGCTCCTGTGACCACTCTCTGTCCTCCTCGGGACTCCTAGTCCTCAGCTCCCGTTGTTTTAGGCCAGTGTTTTAAAAACCTTTTGGGCTTAGCAAAAGAACATGTTGTTCTTATGAGAGCTGATTTGGAACTCCAATAAGTAATCACCATAAAATCTCCCCACATCCTCCTTGCCCAAGCGCTGCTGTAGAATCTTAGTGCTCCAAGGCACAGATTTAAAACCACTGTCCTAGACTTCCGTCACTGTCCTATGTTTCCCATGGGGAGCCGTTACGTGACAATAGTACTTTATCGCCCTAGGAACCCCAATGCCTGTCACCCTTCTGACTCCGGACAACTTTCACCGTTCGCTTTTCCTGCTGCCAAGCTGCTGAGGGGAGCTTGTGAATGACAAATTTGTGTCATGTGCGTCAACTACAAATTCACATGCTCCAACTTCCACAGAGTGGTCAGGCTTGCTCAGCTGTCTCTTTGTTCATCTTTTGCGGATCCCATGCCGCCATCACACCAGATGGCCAGCAGATGTAGACTTCAACTTCCCTCTTTACCTTAAAACCTCATCTTCCTCCTTTCGCCTTTTTTCCTTTCCTCTTGTCCAGAAGGGGCTAAGGCTGTCTCTCTTTCTCGCCCTCCCTCTTTTTTTTTTTTTAATATTTAGAGGGAGGGGAAGGGAGGGAAAGAAGGGGAAAAACATAGATGCGAGAAACATCGATCGGTTGCCTCTCTGGTACATGGAGACTGAAGTTGCAACCCAGCCACGTGCCCTGACCAGGAATCGAACCAGTGACCCTTTGCTTTGCGGGACGATGCCCAACCCACTGAACCACACTGGTCATGGCACTAATGCTGTCTTCAGCAGTCAAGGCAACCTCTTTACCATTCCACTTTTGCTATGAATCCTGTCCCCGCCCACAGCCTTCCAGGCTTCCCTCCTTCAATTAACCCTCCCTGTCATCAGCATTTACAACTTTTCATTCTACTACTGCTTTTCCCCCATCCTGCAAATGCCTTCCCCTCACCATGTTCTATCTCTCTTTTTTAAAGATTTTATTTATTTATTTAGAGAAGGGAAGAGAGGGAGAGAAACATCAGTGTGTGGTTGCCTCTCGCGCACCCTCTGCTGGGGACCTGGCCCCCAACCCAGGCACGTGCCCTGACTGGGAATGAAACTGGCGACCCTTTGGTTTGCAGGCCTGCGCTCAATCCACTGAGCCACACCAGCTAGAGGTCTTTTTTTTTTTTTCATGCTATAGTGGAAATGGCACCTGAGCTGGGAGTTTGAACACTTGAGTTTAAATCCTACCCTGCCCTTACTAGCTATGTAACTTGGACAAGTCAATTCTCAGAGACCACATCCTCATCTCTAAAATGGGGGTGATATTTGCTTCGTGGAGTTGTTAGGAGGATCTAATGGAACACCACACATAAAAGTGCTTTGTAAGCAGCAATGTAATACATATACTGTTAGCTGGTAAGAAAACCGAGGCCAGGAGGGGCTAGATGATGTCCCACCAAGTAAGGGGTAGAAATTGGATTGGCTACCCCAAATCTATCCGACTGCCAAATCCAGGCTTTTCCTGCCATATCATATTGCTTCCATCTTTCTGATGATTGCTCTACCTGTCCCTCTCAAAGACAGCTCAAGTACCTACCATAATGCAATTACTGGGTTGGGCACCAAGAATCCAGTGATACAGATGGGATACTAAAGATGCAGACAATTAGTCACAGTCTGACCTTTAGGAATTTAAAGTCTAGAGGATAATAGAGTTATTGTAAGTACCATAAACTAAGTGCTGCAGGATCTGGGAGTGGCACTAGGTAGGGAGAAGCTTCAAGGACATGACTTCTCTCTCTTCTACAAGTACTTCTATCTGCACCTTGTTCAGTCTCTTACCTCTGATTGCTCTTTTGTTTCTCTGCCTTCTCCCCTAACTTGCCCACAAGGTTTTACCCGTGGCTTTTTTCTCTCCACACGTTATCCCTTGGCAAACTG